CTCAAGATGTCAAAACCTGAGTGGTAGGAAGAAAATGTACTAATCCATGAAAGTAAGGGCACTTAGAAAACACAAAAGTACTTACTTCTCTTAGCTGTAACTCGGAGACGGTGGTTGTGAGGAGGGAATAATAACCAGCTGCAATAACCAGCCCAACTTCAAGTTGCTGTGTGTGCTTCATTATCAGAGAAGTAAACTATTGAGAGGTAATGTTTTAGAGGCATGCATTGGTACTGAGTACCACCTTTTCTAACATGGCTTTTCACAGAAGAGGTGAGAAGGGATACAGACTCCAAAAGCCTGAGCCTCCCATCAGCCTGTGAGGATTTGGCCATACCTCAGAGGCGGCCTGGATATGAAGAAGAAATGCAAGCCTCCAGTATAATTTTACATGTACGAGAGAGTTGCAGTCTGTTATTGTGATACTATAAGCGTTTGTCTTTTTTTTTTCGGATATTCAGGATATCTGAAAAATGGTAGCCACACCTGTGAGCTATCAAGTAATCACATTGTTCAAGGGTGACTCTCAATCTTAGGAAGCTTAGAAGAACATGACCCTTTTCCTCACACACAAGGCAAAGGGACCGGAGAATACAAGGACACCCTGGAGGCCATGAGTCACACAGACGGCAGTGCTTGGGATCTCACCTAGCTCAGCTGCAAATGGTAGAACAGCATTTTCCTTCAGATCTGTGAAGAGGCTAATAAAATTAATAGTCTGGCTTGGTCACACTTGGGCAATGTTAAATAGATGGTTCCTCATCAAAATGAGAAACGTAAGACAAGGATTCTCTCTTGGTCTGAACTGTATCTTTTTGGTTCAGAGGGTTATTAGATCCCAGGTAGCTTCTCACGACTATGTAATTCCTTGTTTCTGCAATTCCAGTTTTCAGAGCTCTCCCCTGACCCACAAGGAAAAGACATAGCAGAAGGCCAGACAAAAATGTCCAGCCTTCTCAGACAGCTCTGATGGTAATCTGGCATGCCTGGCTTCCTATCTGGAATTGTTGGTCAGATATTCCTCAGCGACCACAAAAATCCATGTGTTCCTTTGTCTCAAACACTGTGATGATGAAACAAGTTGGCTCTTTCATTGCCGTGTTTGAGACATGCCTTCTTTAAAATACATGAGGTGACAATTAGGTCATACATCAGCGTTGTCATGAACAGCTGAGACATACACTTCAGATCCAAGTATGAAAATGAAATCCCTGACAGAATTCCCTTGCTTCTTGTATACATATCAAAATAGGTTCCTTCAAGAGCTATTTTGATCCTTTTGAGCTGCATAGCCATACGCATACTTACCAGAATGGTGAAAGACAGCATTTCCTTGAAAACAGGACCATGGAACAGTATCTTAGTAACTTGAAAAAGCGTTATCTAAAAAACAGCCAATGATTTGTCAAGACTCTCAGTTTGTTACTGCCAATGCTGGACCACACTATCAGATGGAATATTCTGGCAAAGATTGATCTAATTGTTCTGAAATGCATTTTCCATTTCATAATGCTATTTAAGATTGGCATATGGAACTCTAGACATAAACCAGGATATTGATTAAACACGTTTGTCTATTCACATTTACTAAGACACTCTTAAACTCCTAAAAGAAGACTACATGACTAAATTTCCAATTTGCAGTTTTTAAATGGGGAAAATAGGATAAATTTTAGAAACAGAAATGTTGTATTCTCTGGTATGCCATGTTCTGGTTTATGGAGTTTAGTTATGTACAGAGAACTTAGCAGTGAAGGGAATTACACAACTTCATGGCCCTTTTACACTGGTGTATTTGGCTGCTGCCAAATCCAGCATACAGTATCGTATTGTAAAAGAGAATTTAGTTAGGCTAGAAAGCATAACTAAATAGGTCCCTACACCATATGACAGTACATGCTTTAAATATAGAGTGAAACACCGACATGTATCATCTGAAAACCAGAACAGCTTATTGAGTTATGCCACCTTTGCACGGAACAGGTATCTACAGACCATTTCAAACTTTCAGGAAAACAAAGTAAGAATGACACACAAGAGTACTTGTTCACCTAACGTCAGCAAGGGGTTTGCGTATGGGAGCCAAAATTCCTTTTTGGTTTTGGCTGGTAGTAGGAACGTAAGTTGATAAACTGACTGTCTTCTAAAACATTTTTGTGTGTTTGGCATTGAATACATGCCTGTTTGGTGCATAGTATAACGAACACAAAGAATTACTGCGTTAAGGTGTTTTGTGAGATCTGTGCAATTCAAAGCACCATCCCGATGGCTTGAAAGTGATTTGGTAACATGGTCTAGGAGCTGCCAATGGTTGTAAAACTGGTATTCCACCAGATTGGTAAAATCTGTCTTACTATTTTCACTTACAGACTGTAGGCATAGAACTAACTTCATCTAAGATTAGATAGCAAAACTGGTATTCCACCAGATTGGTAAAATCTGTTTTACTATTTTCACTTACAGGCTGTGGGCATAGAACTAACTTCATCTAACATTGCAATGTCTGGATTAGTTTTCTTTATATTCAGTGGACAGAAGTATGATAGGTGCAATTCACATAACTAGTTTTGAACATTAGGATGTGATTGAAGTGCTTTTTTTCTCTTCACTGGTATATGGATTTCTTTGATCTTGCAATTTTGTTTTACTATTTTCACTTACAGGCTGTGGGCATAGAACTAACTTCATCTAACATTGCAATGTCTGGATTAGTTTTCTTTATATTCAGTGGACAGAAGTATGATAGGTGCAATTCACATAACTAGTTTTGAACATTAGGATGTGATTGAAGTGCTTTTTTTCTCTTCACTGGTATATGGATTTCTTTGATCTTGCAATTTTTTTACTCATGGAGAAGATGCCTGTAATCAATCTCATGTCCCAGGAAGACGTAGATGATTTTTTTCACCAACATCAAACTTACTCTTCATCATTCTCCAACCAACTGTTGTCCTGGATTTAGAATTTCATAATACCATTGAACCTTGCTGATCACATTTTACACTGGCCCATTTCAATGCGCTGCCAGTTTTCACGTGTAGGCAAAACATAGCAAGCTATTCTGAGGTTGAAGACCTTTATGGATGTGGTCTGCAGGTGATCAGGAGCTCTGAATTAAGACTGGCTGATGGTTCTGTACACTGAACATCACCAGTGAAGCAGCTTTTGCTTGGTGAGATGTGCCCGTTGCTAGATGGATCATTTAAATCATGACCAACTTTACAGTAATTTGACATTCAGAGGTATACTTAATGCTCTCCTCACTGAGCAAAACCAATGCAAATCACATATTATTTACATTAGTATCATGGGAAGAGCCTACCCAGAACAGCAGGGCAATCTAAAAATTATACACATGTCAGCGAAGTCATTCAGTTATGTCTTTGTTTTAATGAATTTTTTAAACATTTGTATCATCAGACAAAACATTTAAGTCATGAGAAAATATTTATTTCCAACAGCATGGATTCTGAAAGTTAGTTGGAAGAAGGCATGTTCAATGCTATGGTTTTTCCAATGCTGGGTCAGTTAAAACAGTGTGTTGCAGTGCATATATTAACCAGTTACTTTAAGGAAATGCAAAAAGACATAGTGAAGTAGGAAGTGAGTACAAACATTCAAGGCAGTAAAAATGCAGAATACTGACACATGGCTGAAAAATGTACTTTTTGTAATGCTCTTAGTATCACACAAAACTAGCAACTCACTTGAAAACATTCCTTGTCAGCAACCATACTTCTGACCATATGAAATTATTAAATTTAATACAGTCTTTCAGCTGGAAGAGATATTAAGGTCTAACGCTCATATCAAATGCTTAGATTTTGTTAGCTTTGCTTGTTATTTAAGATAGTTTCAGGGTACTGCACCAGTATCACATAGGGTTTTTTTTAAATTGATTTGTATAGAAACATGCAAATAGTAATGCATGAGGGTTTTATATATTTGATTATAATTGGATGTATTATTGATAGAGCACACCAAGCTTTTTTTGTTACATTTTATGCTGAACTGTTCCATTTCCACACCCACCAATTGCCATCAGAGTTCTCATGGCTTACTGTGTAAAGCCAGAAAGTGGAGAAAGCAAGAATGTCTTTACTTAGGACATAGATTAATGAAAATAATTCTTTTATAGATAGATCTATCTATCTATATATGATTAAGATTACATGGTATTTTTAGCAGCATGAAATGTAAAAAAAAAGTTCTCCAAACACCCCAAACTCGTAGGAAAACACAGTTAACTGGCACAATACACTCTTAAACCAGTTTTGTATAAGGCTTCAGTTTTCCTGATGAATGGGACTAAATTTTTAAGCAGGTCTGTATACATTTTAGTCATTATAACTGTTTTATGTCACAATATATTCTTAATAAAATAAAAACTCTTGTGTTGTAAAGATAGCTAGTTACCTTCTAGACAAATAGGACCTTTTAGAGAGTAGGCTGTGTCTAAAGTATAAGAAGTAGAATTAAGGTGCTTCCATATTTTTGCTTTCATTCTTAAAAAGTACCACACATAAACAATTGCAATAATTTCTTGCGGACATGCTTTTCTTTGGCTTTTACCATATTTTTAATAGCATGTGATCCCCCGTTGGAGAATTTTATATTCATTACTTACTTGATTTTGTAGAAATTATGTTGTAAAACTTAATGGAACAAAATGTTGGATGTCCTTTGTCACAGCTACACTTTTTCTCTTCCTTTCATTATTTCTGTTTGCATCAAGCAATAACTGCAAGCAACAATAAATTTAAAGCTAGATTTTTTGCACGTTGTAAACTGGGTAGGACCAGGAGTTACTGACAAAACCATCTGGTCATGCAAGATTAGCAAATTCTCTATATTCCAACACGTTGCCATCTAATCTGTCCTGTTTCCCCCAACACATACTAACACAATGAAGCTGGACAATGGTTCAACAGCAAGTGCATGTGATAGTTCTGGCAAGACTATTTTTGTTTTGATTAAGCACATATTTTATCCGGGAGGGGCTAGAAAAGCAGGGCCTTTTTCTTCAGGTCATTCCGCTTCCAAAGTGCCAGACGATCAAATTCCTCAATGCTCATTTTGAAGACTTCCTGGAACTCTTCAGGGGACAAATGCCTCTTAAAAATGAAAATAAAAAAGGTGTCATTAAGCTCTTCTGTGCACAGGAACATTTCTGCCCTTCCTAAGTTTTAAAACACACCACAAATTAATGCATTAGGATTTGCATTTAAATTCCCAGATTGGTTCTGGAAAAGACTGCATCAAAAGCAAATGAGCTCAGAGTAGCTGGGAAATGAAATTATTGATGGCAGTAGTGACTTCTGGATAAAAAAAAGATCTTCTCAATATAGTTCCAACTGAGCAGAAGCTACAGTCTCTGGGAAAAAGATGTGTTTATACACGGTGCTTGATGACAGAGCACGCTGAGACAAATTCAAGCTATTCCAGGACTTTAAAGAGATTGATAACAATGTAATTTCAGAGTTGGATTTGTTTTGCCTTGATCTTTAATGAGAGCGATGGACACCACACTGATCCACTAATAGCAGCCTTGTAACAAAGGAGAGAGCACACTGCTAAATTCTTAAACCCAAAACGTGCTTATCCATGGGGATAAACTCATATCAGAAGTCCAAGTTGGATATAGGGAGGTTTTTAAATGGCAAGAACTATGCTTCTATTTCATATTTTCATGATTCAATATAAAAAAGAAAAAGATGAATAGGGGAGAATACCAATATAACGAACTGGAAGGAGTTACGATAAGGGAAGTTATGCCGTTTGCCTAAGAATTACTAGTATACACACAAAAAAGGCAGAAAGATAAATGTGTGAATTACAAATGAATATCTTATAAAATTCTTCTGATAATTGTGGACTACCTCTTGGTCAAGCATTTCAGTTACGGTTCTCTGTTTCTGATGTGTTAAGCATACGCTGTCTGAAAGGGACAGATTCAGTGCAAGAGAATTACAATTTACAGTTTTCAACATAGCCTCTCCTCTTCCACAAAGATTTCCTTGAAACCTGGGACCAGCCCTGCAACCTGACCCTCTCCTCCCCAGCTGAGCTTTTGACTTGAAATTCCCCAGGCACAGCTCCAGTTCCAGGCGCAGCCGGGCAGCCTCAGCCTGAGCACCTCGGTGCTTGCTGAAGCACCACCTGCATCCACAAACGAGGTCCCCCACAGCTGCTAAGCACAAGAAATGCTGGGACATGCCCCACGCAGCAGAATCAGGCTCATCACACGTTAGGCAACTGCATTATTTCAAGGGAAGGGTATTGACCCTTTCCTTTCATCTCATTGCCTCCTGGTTGCAGGACTTCCCAGGAGTGAGAAAGCTGGGTTCAATGTCCTCATCATTTGGAGAAGGCTCAAACCCACCATCTAGTCCGCATCGCTCACTCTCAAGGCACATGCCAGCAAGCCAGCCAGGAGGGTAATTTTAAAGGACATACAGTCCTCACAAATGTGAATAATGCTGGCTGCAAATACTAAGTGCATGATGCCAAAGGTAGGGGGGAGCACAGCACTCCCCAGAGGCAGGGGAGCCAGGGGGTCCTTTAGACTGTTTTTTTCTGGTACTTCAAATAAGCCAAGGTATGCTATCATTTGAGTCAAGTCCCAGCATCATCTGGAAGACTGCTTGCTGCTATTAGCCAAAATTGTGGCCACAGAGCATGCTAACATGCCCTGATAATCCCACAATGGCAAACCATCCTGGCCTGGCCAGGATGGACACAGCCCCATTGACCTACCTTACAAAGCTATTTTTTGGACAAGTTTGAAAGCAAAATTTTACTTGCCACTTATTAACAATGTGTTTATCTTTATAATGCAAATTACTCAAGGAAAATTAACAAAATTGTTTATAAAAATATCACTACCCTTAATTACCTTGAATGGTCATTATGGGCCCTTGTGGTTTCTTAAAAAAGGACAGCCTTGGTTTTCTTCCCTTGAGATTCTGCATATTCAGAACAACAGTGACTAAGAGTTTGGAATGGAGCCTTCATTTTTCATTTGACCAATGACAGCAACCCACCATAAGCACTATGCATAGCATGGAACAAACACGCCATGCATATTTGGCAAAGGAGATCCTGTTTTGCATGGAAATGAGCAACATCTGACAATGTATTTTAGAAACAATGTCTCACTGACAGAATTTAATTCTACTGCATTCGGAAAGAAAAAGTAACTTCTCTCTGCATTCATTTTTTTTTCCCCATATTTTCCTGGTAATCCAGTGGGCAAATGCAAGTAAGCTTAACTCCAGCAATTTCTCACAGCAAGGAACACATCTGTAAGTTGTGGGACTGAAAAAGAAGTATTTTGTTTTACCTTGCTTTCTAGATTGTGGATAAGACTTGAGATGTCCCCTAACTCAGGAGAAAGCAGAGACAAACTGTAGTTCATACTCAAAGACAAAATCAGAAAGTCTATACCCCGCAGGTAAACCCACTTTGCCAACCAGTCAAAACCATAGCTAAGGTAAAACTTTAAAAGGAATGTTTTCACCTTTTTTTTTTTTTTTTCTTGAGGTAAATTATACCATTTCTTCCTACAAATATCTGTGGTCTCATCAGATCTGTTTCAATACTGAAGGTCAATGGAGAGAGAGTCAGCAAGCCCTGCATCAGGTCTCAGGCCTTTTCTGCAGGGTGTCGAATCCTCGCTACACTTCCCCTCCCGACGAAGCGTGCCACCAATCTCCGTACAAGCTCTGAAATTCCCCCTGTCCTCTCCAAGGCTGTACTTTGCCATTTATCATTTTGCTTTGCCCTCAGGCTTAGCAAGCTTTCAGTTTACATGCATCTACCCAAGCCAGTATGAATTAGATATGCGCTCTGCTCCACCGCTTGTATCCAGATGGCATCACCTACATTCCTTGCATACACTCATTTTCTAATTATACTGCAGTTTTGTTTACAGCAGCACCATTTTGCTTTCCTCACAAAAGCTCTCAGCTGATGCCGCCTGGTCTGAACTGAAGTGAGAATTTCCAGCCCAGGGATGCAGTAGCAGAAATTGAGATGGGGAAAGCACGAGCTCATTTATTTCCACCTCCCATTCCACTAGGCAGTTTCTTTGCTTTTAATTCTCTTCCACATACTGTCCCTCATCTCAAGGACTAAAAACCAGACTGCAAAAGTTTCTTACTCCATCAATACATTATCCACATGCAAAATTAATTCCAGTAGAAGAAAACACTTTCCCTTTGGTTTGAACCTCCTCTGAGGACACCAACCTGTGCCCAGGGTAGCATAACTCCCACTGTTTTCCCTGCATCTCAGAAACTTTCACCATCCCTTTCTTAAGCATCGTGGGCTCTAGCTTTGGGACCGACCCTAGAAGCAGCAATGATTACAGTTCTGTCTGCAAATTTTGGAATAAACCTTGATCCCAGAAAGTTGTCATCAAACTGGCAAAGCTGCAGATAAAAGTAACAAAAGTAATCATGGGTTGCAGAGTTTGATTTATGAAGCAAGACCAAAGGGCCTAGTATGCATAAGCTTAGCCAAATGATGACTAAGGGAAAATACGGTAAATGTCTACAAGTATTTGAAGGGTCTAAACACCACTGGAATAGGCCAGTGTGGGAAGTTTATGTTTGTACTTTTCTTTATATGTATGATGTTAAATTTTGTCTGCACTATTTTTGGGACTTTCCTAAACCTTATAGCTTTAAGACCTAGAGCTCTTCCCAAACAAAGGCAAAGAAAATGCACCACTAAGAAATCTTAGATTGATTTATCTTTCTTCTCATCTATTTGGATATTAATTTGTCTTAACTGAAGCGTTACCTTGTCTCGTTAGTCAAACAAAAGAAGGGAAATTGAAAATTATGCATAGGGAATAGGAAGGATATTCATCTTGAGGCATGAGAGAAGATGTGTGTGTAAAGCTATGCTTTAAAAGGATAAGAACATGATTTCTTTTTTTTTTTTTTCTAGGATTGGATCAGCTTAAAATATCCAGCTATGTTAATAGTGCATCATTGAGCCATTAAAGGAATGGCCAAACTTATTAGTAAAAGTAACATTAATTCCTTTTATTTAACTGGTGTTGGCCTTGTTTACATAGGAAGTCTGGGTGTTTTACAGTGTGCTAGTAACTGATTCTTAATTCCCTCTACGACAATTTGCCCATATTCAGGCAGTTTAGCTCAATCTACTTCTCTGCTCTGAATCAACAGCAAAGCTGGGCAAGTTGCAGACACTGAGGAGAACACAGAGGACCAGATTAAGGTCCCCTTCTGCCCACGCTCTGAACTGAGTGTATTTAAGTGAGCTCAGTTTGGAAGCTGCATAGTGATGTTACCATGATGCTACCTGAAAATCTTGCTAAAAGATAAGGTAAAGAGTTTAAAGATGGTTTTTCACTAAAAAGACTGCTACACCGGAGCTCACAGCATCAGAACATCAGCATTTTGGATGTATTTAAGTGTGAAATTGCTACACTAGAAAGTACTACTGCATCATATTGTTTTGATAAAATTATATTAATCTGAGGCTTGTAAAGTCAATAGTGCTCAGTCTTTTGTTCTGGATAGCATTTTCTGTCAGCCTGCATGGGAAATCAGAAAAAGACAGTGAGACTCAAGTTCAGTAAAGTGCTGAGGATCCACCAGATGGGTCACTGCACCTTGCTGTAATTATGTAGCTAGTGCTCCTAAAACATACAGACACACAACAGAATTAAAATGGAATTGTTTCTTACTAAGATATACAGAACTAAGCAAGGGCTGAGCTCAACCTCTCTACTGCAATGCAACCACTATAACGGAAAGTTCTCATGCTCTAAGAACCACGATCATTAAAATGAGCAGTACAGATACACGCTCATTTTTGAGTCTCTCAGAACAAAAGTAATTAATTGCACATTCAAATACTTGCTCACAGTGCTATTTCAGAAAGAAGTGATGCTTTTCACTGTAAACTAATGAGGCTTGTCTCTGTTTTTCTATGGCCTGCTAAAAAGCCACTAATAATTCTAAATAGAGTTATAATGTTTCTTTAATTCAATGAGATTTCTTTTCCCTGAGAATAATTGTGCTTTTAATGAAATTCAGAGATCTTCAAAACTAATAGTTAGGAACATGGCATTAGTGTG